AGCTCACCAACGCATCCATGCACACAAATCCCCTTACTGTTGTCCTGAGTGTGGCGCCCTGAGTCGCTCTGCAGACATACAGAAGCACGTCAAGGAAAACTGTCTGCACTACGCACGCAAGGCTTGGTACAAGTAAGTTTCGAGGCATGAAATGCTTTATTAAAAAGTCTCAGCCACGCACAATACAGTGTTACAGAAATGTCCTAATTTTTCCCCAGATGTCTTCACTGTGATATGGTTTTCAAGACCTTTCAAGGACAAAAGGCTCACATCGAAGAGAAACACTGCGCTGTCTTTTACAAGTGCTCCATGTGTCCGGTTGCCTTAAAGACGTCTGACAGCTGTGAAGTGCATTTGAAAAATAAACACGGCGCTAGCAAATCAACTCCTCAGTAAGTTTACAACACATAAAGAGTGACTGTAAAAAGAGAAATGGCACATTTTGTTTTACAGTTTGTTTTAATGGTTTTCTCTTTGGTCTGCAGGTTAATCTTTAAGTGTTCTTGTGAGACCATCTTCAAGAAAAAGCAGTCACTGTTTCAGCATTTCCATCAGAACGCTCACAAGCGTGTCACCTGTGTGTTCAAGTGTCCAGAATGCAACTCAGTCTTTCCACAAAAGCAGTTATTAATGCAACACTTCAAGGTTTGTTTCTTTGTACACTATAGTTCAGATATGTTAATTGGTTTAGCTAATTTAGTTTTCAGTATTCCCATGAAAATTGTACATTGAAACTGTGCATCAAAGTGACATTTAACCTGAGTCTTTGGATGAATGATTATTTTTGCAAAGCTCAGCTACTGAATATATTGTTAACATATGTATTTTCTGTTTTGCAGAGTGAGCACATTGGGAACACGACAGCAGAGACAGAAAAGAACAGCAGACAGGGCGCCCAACAACAGAAGAGTCACAATCCCGTCAAACCCTCAGAGAGTCCCAGAAAAAAGGCTGAGCAAGACAGCAGACCCCGTGTGAAGCCCACTGGCTGGACGTGTGGGAAGTGTCTCCAGTGGTTCCCCGAGAGAGAATCATATGTTTCTCATGCGAAGACCAAACACGGCAAGGTAGGGGGATCATGCATTTTATATTATATAATATATAAAGAGGTCCAGTGACAAATGAGACCTCCTATCTTCAAATTAAACATTAAACTGGAATGGCACTGAGTAGATACCTCCTCTAGTAAAGAGTTATCCACACAGACAACAATCGTTCCATCAGCAGACAGACAACAGATCGTGGGATAAAATACCTCCCGTCTAGTCTGAAGAATGTTGGTTGGGAGATATAAAATACATAAAGCAATGAATTCTGCATTTTCCCTCTGAAAACCGTATCAAAATAAACCACCCCAATAGTTTGAGTGGTATTTCTGGTTCCTGATTTAAAGTGGTGAACTCTGAGGTTTTCCACCCCAGTTGATTTGGCAACACCTGGTAATGGAAAATGCAGTTTGATACCACAGCTCACAGAATTCTGGGGGACAGCAAAGCAAACTGTCATCATGTTTTAATCAAGAAATCAGAAAAGAATTGGCCTTTTTCTAGTGTTCTGTTAACAACCTCCATCTTCTTATGAGTCTAACTGAAAGGAAGTAGCTACTTGAAGGTGTGTCCTCTAGCTCTTCATCCAGTGACCCACAGTGGCTTCACTTCTTCTTACTCCTTTACTTCCTGCAATATTTCAAACGGCAGGAAATGAGCATTGACTTGTTTTGAAGAGCGATAAATGCTAAACTTGTGTTTCGCTACTTAAATGCTTTTAAAGGGAAGCTGCTGCAATAGGAAATGCTCAATTTGCACCGTCAGCAACTTGATACATTTTCTCCTAAAATGTTGCCACAGACACATATTGTCAAAATATAAAAGTATTTCCATGGGCTCAGTCTACATTTTGTTAGCTCATGCGGTGATACATCCTTGCCTCCTTGACGTCTGCCACCGACCAGCCACTCTCCTTTCAGCAGTGCGGCATGTATGTGCTGAAAGGAGAGATGACTTCAGTGAGCCCTGCTGCAGAGGTCAGAGTAGGTGCTGATAGACTGGATGGATGCTGCCAGTCCATGAGATGAGCTGCTGATGTCTTGACTTCTGTTGGGAATTTCAAATTATACCTAAAAGTTATGCCAAAGTTTTCCCTTGTTGCGCATTCTCAGCCACCTCATTTGTTTTTAACTTTTTTAAAATGATTTCTCCTTTGACAGGCGGTGAAGAAGTATCCATGTAGACACTGTGAGCAGTCCTTCAACTCCCCAACCAGTCTAAGGAGACACATTCGCAATGACCACGATGGAAAAAAGAAAAATTACACTTGTTGGTAAGATTGTTATATTTGGACATGAACTAATCAGTGTTGTCTCAAATAGCTTATGACCAATCTGCCTTTTTTAATTAAGGTATTGTACGGACACAAAGAAAATATTCACCTCAAGTGTGATGTTGAAGAACCACATCAGTCTAATGCACGGAATCAAAAATCCTGATCTTGGCTTGATGCCGAAAACAGCCACCCAGGAGTCCAAAAAGGCTTTGGGCAAGAAGGTACAAAACAAAATGAAAAAACTTACAAACACAAATGGTATTGATGATTTTTTTAAGTGTGTGACCTCTGTGACTTTCAGGGACTTGTGTCAGAAAGACCAGCTGTCGGCAAACAAGGGAAGCAGGATCTCACGGGGAGTCTCGAGGCTCCGTCAGCGAAGCGTCTGAAAACTCAGTTCCGCTGTTCAAAGTGTGGTTTCATCACAGGCGACAGTACACAGTTCCAGCAACATATACCTCAGCATAAAACTGATGAAAACACTCCCCAGTGCCTTCACTGTGGCCTGTGTTTCACATCTGTGCTGTCTCTCAACAGACATCTTTTTATTGTACACAAAGTCAAAGACCCAGGAGAAGAGGGGATGGAGGAACGAAAAGAGAAGGAGGTGGAGGTTAGGCAGAAGGAGCAGGATAATCAGCCAGTCAGATCTGCAGAGACTGATGAGGTAAATCATTTGTTACCACAGCTACATGAAATCGAACCGTCACAGGTAGAAGAGCCAGCGAGTCTGCACTTTGACAGGACCACGGACTGTAATTTAAAACTGAGCGCTCACTCTCACACGCCAACAGTCTCTCTGCGGTAACGACAACCGCCTCGACACCTCTTGAAAGTCTCAGTGATGTCTTCAGTGTTCCTTGTGAACTGTGTTTTTCATGTAACGAGGGGTGCTTGACATTAATGCATGGAGGTGGTACAGAGAGTCTGGGCCTCTTCGTTTTCAAATTGTCTCATGTTATTCAGTATATTCAAGCAGATCCTTAACATTTAAAAACAAACAGTATTTTCATAAACGAGACAAATTATTATTCATATTTTACAATGTATTTAACTTTGCATGTTGGTAATGTATTCATCTTGCCTTCCAAGAATACAGCAAGTGCACTCATATTACAGCTGAAGCCTTTTCTTTCTATTACTTTGTTTCTTTGTTTGTTTTCATCCACCCCAACTGGAGACTCAGGAACGTCTTGTTAGTTTTTAGGTCTCGTATTGGTTGATGTAACAGTGACGGTGGATTTTCGCTTTTTGTAACCAACTGTAAATTTAAACGGCTTAAATGTTGTCTGAAGTATTTAACGCTACACATTATTACCTGAATGAGATTCAGGTTGCAGTCTTTATGTTGACCCTGTTGCAATTATTTTTGCAGTACGCTAGAATTTGAGTCGCCATTTATCAGAAAACAGTGCAGTTTGGTATTGGTTTAAAATCAGTCCTTCTGCATTTATGGTTAACAGTTCTTTTTTAACAAGTATCCTGTAAGGTCAGCTACAGAAATAAGGCTATACAGAAGAAAAAATGAATTAACTTTGACAATTTGAGCTTTCTGAAATGCTTTTGTCTTTTACATTGAATTGAATGTGTTTGATTTGTGGGTTCATGTGTTGTCCCAGATCTGGCCTTTTTTCTTTCTTTTTTTTTTTAAATAAGATTTTTATTTGAAAGAGCATTTTTACGTGGAGAGGTATTGTATGTTGTGGCGCAGCAGTATTGAAAATACCTCAAATTACCAGAAGTGTATTTTTAGGCAAGTGAATGGTCGATGTTATGTCAAATCAGGGTACATTGTTTTGGATCATCCAGAGCAGGCATGGAAGTGAAGTATGGCTGCATATTGGAGACGAAGTTTTAGAAATCAGGACCTGGTAACAGGAAGACACTCATAATGACAATAATAATAATAATGACGAAAAAACACAGGAATTTCTTGAATCCATAATGACATCAGACAAAAAGAAATAGTGTTGTTTCTTCTCACTCATGTCCTGGTTTGTAAAGCAGCACCTGAATGTTTTGTATTGACCACGTGACGGTTCCTACCTCCATGGTAAATGGCAGTGATTGTTAAACGTTGAAAGGCTTTTGAAGAGTCGCAGGTAATCTCAGTGCAATGTAAAAATGAGTATTATTCAATTTTATAAATTATTTTGGGAATGATAGTGAGGATATTTGGTCATATTGACTCAACTGGTGAGGGAACTTTTCTATGTAAGTGCGACATGAGCTCTCTCATTTCTGTCTAATCTTTAAATCACCACGCTGCAGCTGTCAGTCTGCAGAGGCTGAAAAGAACGATTCTTTTGTAATGCTTGTCGAGAGAGATTTGTACTTTTGATACTGTGTACAGTGAGGACTTGTAAAGGAAAGTAACATGTGTACATACAGTAGCCAATGAACCCTAGATTCACAACATTTCTTAAGCCATTACACCTGTTCAGCATGCACTGGCCCATGTGCCTTGCTGTTATGTTTACGTAAAGTACTTACAAATAAATCGGTGCATTTAATGACAAATCTGCTTTGTGTTGTGGTCATGTGTCACAGACCTGTGTCTGTATTGAACTGCTGGATGCTTGGGAGGAAAGTATCGGTATTAAGGCGTGATAATTAGTGGTTTTGCATGGAGGTCACATACTTGTCATCACAGCAAGTCAAAATGACACAAGGCACTCGAATGTGCATCCAATAAGAAAACAGCTGCAGATGTGTGACTTCATTTCATTAGAATATTAAGCCCATCCTTTCTCACTATAACTGCTTGTCCAGAAGCAGAGCCAAGAGATTTTTAATTAACTGACATCAGGTTGTGACAAACACGTCGGAGGAATGACAGGCAATGTGACCAGAATCTGCAGAGCAGGACTCCTGTCTTCTTTCATCCTCATCTCTCACTTTGCCATGACATCTTCAATGACTTTTGATTTGACTGAGCTGAGAAATAAAGTTTCAAAGATCAAGATGAATCCCAGGAGCAATCTGTGGGCAATGGGTAAGAGAAAAAACCATATAATATATAATCATATATTTGATATTCCTAATGTGTACTTTTAATGGTTTTCATTGAGATTGTGTGTTTTGATCACTAAGGGCATTTCATGGGAAAGAAAAGTGTTGCGGATGGTTCTTTTATGGAGTCGGCTTTTGAAGATGTAAATGTTCCAGCTGATGTCAGAGCTGCCAGTCCTCTGCGCACAGTGGAAGACCTGCAGGCGCTGATCATTCAGATGCTGGAAACTGCTCTGCACACTAGAGAGAAACAGACTCTGAAACGTTCGTTCATTTTTATTATTAATATTATTTTTACTATTATTGCTATTACTGTCATCAACTTTACAACTTACTGTCTTTTTTTATTATTTTAGAGTTGGAGGAGACCCTGCCTGAGGAGCACTAACCAGCATCAGGGTAACAATATGACAAAGAAGAAGAAGAAGAAGAAACAAGTGCTGATATATTTCTGTTTTTCTGCACTGCTTTACTCTTGGATCAATTTATTTGAACCTTTCATTGATGTGTCATCTGTTAATAAACTAATAGAAGCCAGTTCAGTTGTCAAATGATTTTTTTCCCACCTAAAACATATTGTTTATTGGTTTATTGGAATAGCAAAGAATATAACGAAAGTATATGGTTGATTTCAAGATATTTTTCTACACAATGATAAATACGTAAACAAAATCAGTTGTGTTTTTTAGCGCCACCCCTGCTGGTTGTCTTCATAACCACTTTATTTATAGTATCTGGGTGAAAGAGTCATGATCCTCGCTGTTCAGATGATGACGGGCACATGCTTGTTTTTATGTTTCTAGCAAACACGTGAATAATTAGGATAACTCAATATTTTGTTACTGAACCCAGTTTGATATAGACTCCGATCCAGGAGATGGCGGTAATGCGCCCGAGCTTTGTCTGCCAACCGCCATTAAACACCGAGAAGAAAGTGTCATCCCTCTTCATGTGTCCAGTTTATTTTGAAGAGGCGCAGCAGCCATGCCGCTGATCGTGATGTGCGGGTTCCCCTGCAGCGGGAAAACACGACGGGCAGAGGAGCTGAAGGTTCACTTCGAACACAGCTCGAAACTCAAGGTTCACATTGTGGGAGACGAAGCTCTGGGTGTTGACAAAAACTGTGTTTACGCAGGCAAGTGAATCCAACTTCCTGTAGCCATCTGGTGTATCGTTGAGTTTCTGTGACTCTGTCCACCAAAGCCTTCACGTTTTTAATTCAACTGAAGCATCTTAGTCTAAACGGAAGCTAGTTCAACTGGTGGAAGAGCAACTTTGGGATTAGTTGGTTAAACGACCTGTTGTCAAAGTAGACTCATCTCTGTAGTGATGTTAGGTTTCCCGACGACTGACTATAATACATCCTGACGACATAGACAGAGATGGAGTGCATGTGTTCATTGAGAAGCTGGGCAGCATTAAATTCGTGTTATTTTGAATGGGGTTTGGTGTGAAGTGTCCCCATCATTGGGCTTTGATGCAGGTTCCAACTCTTATTACTGATCAGGATTAGATTTGAGATATTCTCCCTTCATAACAAAAGTGTAATATATGTCAGTAACAGTGTCCTACATGACTTAGTGTCAGTGTATGGGGTTATTCAATCAGCTGTTTCCATCTTTTTAAAATATTCCTTCAGTCTGATACATTTTATCATCAAAACATTTCAACTTTTCGGTTCCAGTTGAAGTTGAACTGTTAGTCTTTCCATACAGTCTGTTACAGGCTGAATGAAAGGGTCTCAGTATATAATATATATCACTTCACGTTCTGAATCAGGGTTTCTTTCGGATTTCTGCAGCAACTTAACCTTGTTGTGTTTGTCCCAGATTCCCAAAAGGAGAAAAATGTCCGAGCCTCTCTGAAAGCTGAAGTAGAGAGGTGAGTTTCAGACAGAGGATCCATCACTGATGTTTTGCTGTCACTGCCACTTTTTAACATTCAATATTTTTTTGTTGTTTAGAAAAGTCAACAAGGACGACGTTGTCATTTTGGACTCATTAAATTACATAAAAGGTAAATCATACGATCAGTAGTTTGCTTTTTAATCCCTGTGATTTATCTGTGCTTTCACATTTAAAACTGAAATACCTTCCAGGCTACCGCTATGAGCTGTTCTGTCTCATCAAACACACACAGACACCACAGTGCCTGGTGAGTGTACTAGAAATATCACTATCTGAATGAAGTCTAGATGAATATTTGAAGTCAAAGCCTTTATGCTCTCTCTTATTGAAGGTTTACTGCTTGACTTCAGATGAACAGAGCTCGTCGTGGAATAACAGTCGAGATGCTGCTGAGCAGTACACACAGGACATGTGAGTGAGAGACCTCTGCACATACAGAGTGGGTACATGTCCATCTGTCACGTAGGGTTACAAATGTCTTCATGCTCTTTTATCTTTTTTTATATTTTGTCTCTTCTAGCTTTGACGCGTTAGTTCTTCGATTTGAAGCTCCAGACTCCAGAAACCGATGGGACAGTCCTCTCTTCTCCATCCTAAAAGACGATACGCTTCCGTTTGAAGCCATCTCAGACGCACTTTTCAAAAGAAAAGCACCCCCACCTAACCAGTCTACGCAGAGTGTAAGGGACACCCATGCTTTTTCTTTAACACACATGCAGATTAATTTCCTGCCATTCTACCGTTTTGACTGCCTGCCTGAATATTTCCTTGTCTCTTCACAGCAACCGCTGTCGTCTGCAAACTTCTTGTACGAGTTGGACAAGACCACACAAGACGTCTTAATGGTATGTTTTAATTAAGTTCTTTTTTGGGTTGTTTGTCCATTTATCAGTCACTTAGGTTTCTTTCTAGTTGTCTATAGTTTTTGCTTTTCCCATTTTGTTTTGAGGAGTAGGGCCAGGCAGGATAAAATATGGAGGAAGATTTTTTTTTTAACTTTTAGTTTTTTTCATGCCTGGCCCTGATACTCGTCTTTGCAGTGTTTTGCATCATATTTCCAGATCGAGAAAGTGAGATTTGAAAATACTTGTGTACTCAGTGTGGGCTTTTCAGTGCATAGAAAATGAATGCAGGTACTATTACTCACTGGTCTGATGGCATGAACCCTTATAGGTTGTATCTTTCCAATGTCCACTGTCCACCCCATAATAAAGAAATTCATTCAATGCTTTTCCATTGCATTCAGTGGTGCATGTCCTCCCTCTGCACATGCTGACGTCAAGGCTACTACGTAAATGTTGTGTGTTTGTGTCTCCTGTTGTGTGAACACCTCTGTCCCTGTAATTATGTATCCATCTATTGACATCTGTGATGTCATGTGGCTGTTAATGGCTTTCAGACAATAAGAAATTAGCTGCTCTGTCAGCTTGATTTTCTATTGAGTCCAGCAGTAAGTTCCCTGAAATAGTTTTGTTCATTTTAGCATTTTCTTTACATGGACCGAAAGGTTTTTCTTCAAACACTAGTATTTTACACACATTTGCTGTTAATTAAATGAATAAGACAATAAGTTCTGACTCAGTTTGCACTATTGGACTCCCAACAGTCCAAAGCCTCGGGGAAGTTGTATTTCTCAGTAGGAACATTCACTTCTGTATTTAGTGTGTTTAATAAAGGTAATTTTCAAATTTTCAGGCAATTTTTAATGCACAGAAGACAAGTGTTCCCGGGGATCTCATATCAGTTCCAGGAGCTACAGAAAAGATATCCTTTCTCACATGAATACATAAAACTCAATTTTCTTTTCCCATTACGCAGCTTGTTTGGTGGATACTTTTTCATGTTTGAATCCCTGCGTGACGTCACGCGTCCAGGTAGCAGTGATCTGTCACGGCTAATGACCTGTGACTCATTTCCATTATCTGCCTCCCTAAAGGAAGTCATTCCCTCACCAGTGGGAGGAAAAGCACTCTATATCAAATGACCTGTCTGGGGATGATGGATGAATGCATGTCCATCAAAGAGCTCAGAAGAAAGCTGCCAATCACTGTTAAAGGTCTTGGCTGTACTAAAATACTGTGTGTGCGTGTGCGTGTGCGTGTGYGTGTGTGTGTGTGGTGCGTGCATGCGTGCGTGTGTGTGTTTGGTGGAGAGAAACCAAATTACATTAGTTGATTTTTATTGGCAGCTGATGTTCGTCACACTGTCTCAATAGCAAACACCTTTTCTCCTTTTGAAGGCGTTGATCAAGAGCAGAAACCACCTTCCACATTCCGCACTTTGTACTGTGTAGTTTGTGTTCCTCCTCTCGATACTGTTGTGGGGGAGGATTTTCTGTCTTCATGTGAGAACAGCTTGTACTCAAACGTCCTTAACCTGATGACAAACATCGAGCTCACCAGGGGCATCAACATGGCGGAGCTGCGGAAACTACGGCGCCAGTTCATCAGCTACACCAAGATGCACCCGACAGAGAACACGGGACAAATCTCCAACATGTTTGTGCAGTATTTAAATAAGAGCATTCACTGAAAACTTTTAGCACTGGCCTGTTTTTTGTTCCAAATAAATTGATGTAAATATTTATTGTCTGTGTGTTATTGGCCATTTTAGATAAATCTACTCACATCTGAAATACCAAAAACAGAACATTTTAATGAGAATAAATTACAGTCATTACCAGAAATAGAGTATTAAAGAAAGTACAAATACTTGTACCTGTGTGTTTCTTGACACAACAGAGAAAAAAACGGAAACATAAAACAAAAATTGCAATGTACTTTTTTCTGTCCTTAGAAAAATGGAGTTGCTCAGTTTGGTGATTAAACACCAAGGAAGATAGATGGTTGGATAAATGTACTTTATTTTTCTGTTTTATCGGATCTACTCCAAACCTAAATGGGTACTTCTTTGTGTCATACTCCACCAGCACCACAAACCTCCCTGTGCATAATTTAAAATTCCAACCAATTAGACTAATGTAGCTTGAGTCGGTAAATTGAACATGTTCCAAAGTAGGAGTGAGCTTTAATTCCCCGTGTTGTGTTTGACCTCTGGGTGATAAGACTGACTAACACAGTTGTATTCCCTTGTTCAAAAGCTGCTTATACTTATAACTCAGTGGAATTTGAGAGGAGAGGAAATATCGCTGAGTCAAGCTTCAAAGATTTTCTATTATGTAAGACGATTGCGAGGAGAAGCTAGAACAGGAAGGGGTTTACAGAAATGTGCATGTACAGTACTTGGTCTGCTTGTTAACCGATTACTGTTTGTTACCTCACTGGAATGATGTGAATGATGTCTGACTTTGCAAAAAATACAGTAAAATGCAGGAGAATAATGGACCTAATGTGCAGATATTTACATGTAACAGACAGAAAAAATAGTGACAATCGCAATTAACAACCATTTTATTGAATCAAAAAACAAAATATACTTTTTCACACATTTTTCAATGAATTTCACAAGAAGTCTGCCTCACAAAGAAAACCAGGAGCAGCAGCAAGGAGGCAGCAAGTTTTACAAAATTATAGACAATGCAAATAGAAAAATAATGGAAACTGATCTAACAAAGAGACAATAACAAATAAACCATTATTTTCAGTTGTTACCATGATCTCACAATTTTTTTCTTCAGAGGAACGCTGGTGCCAAAGATGATGTCCCAGTGACTGAAGAAAGGAGCGTAGTTGCTGTTCGGCTTCTGGTGGTGCATGTCATGAGCCGGAGCACCACCCAGCAAACCAAAAGGCACCAGGTGGTTGAGGGTCCAGGGCAGGTCGTAGCCTATGTGGTCTTCCACGGACATCCAGATGCTGAGGACCGTGATGCACCATGTTGTCAGCGGGTGACACTTTAAAGCGAGAGGGTCCTGGTTGCTCCACAGTCCCACAGTCATCAGCTCTGGGATGCTGAGCTGCTCGGTCGACCAGGAGAAGGGCGCAGCATATTCGTGGTGGATGGCGTGGATCCAACGATAAAGCTGTGGATGCTTGTGATGTATGAAGTGCCAAATGTAGTACTGCGTGTCAAAGACGAGTAGCACAGCCAGTCCATCAATGAAAACCTCACACAGAGTAGGAGCCTCATGTGGCAGTGTTGGTGCAGGCAATATGAACATGCCGATTATTACAGATGGAATAACAAAGAAGATGTGGTTATACAGCGCCTTGCAGAAGCTCTTCACCATCATCCCCACTGTTGGCTGCCTGTCTGGTTGGATCTTGTACTGATACATGCAAGGCACCTTTTCTCCCAGCAGGTCCAGCAAAGCAAAAGGTATACTGAAGAAGAAATAACTGGAAAAAGCAAGTAAGACTGGGAAAAAAGGAGATGAAATGAGAGGCAGGTGGTGAAAAAGCAAATAATCCCAGAAAGGCTGCAGAAGCCTGTCTGAGGGTCTCAGGGGAAGGGGCTGCAGAGGCAGCACACTGATGTTCAGCATCTTGGTGCAAGTAGAACGAACACTACCGCTGCTGCTGCTGCTGCTGCTGCTGCTGAAAGTCTCATGATCGCCACAAAGTTCTGCCTTTATACAGTAGAGTCCAACAGAAGAGGCTTTGCTCTCATTTGGAGCAGATCAGCACTTTTCCCCCTCCTGGCAGCTCAATGTTGACATGCAGACCTTCAAAAGAAGATTAGCAAAAGCATTCAAGCACAAGCATTAGACACAACAAATTGATAAGCTTGAGACTCATGATATCAACCAGTACAGATGCATAGGACAAAGGGCAAAAAAACTTTTTGTAAAAGGGAAATATGGACACACTTCCACAATTCTCAGCTTTCTTATCCGAGTAGCACAATCGATTCTTATTTCGTTGAAGATACATTTCAGTCTGGATTTTTTTATTTAAAAAAAATAAAAATCAAGATTCATGAATTGTTCTCTGATAAACAAAAATGTTAAACCCCACACATGTTAACCCTTAGATGCATAAGTGGGGTCAGAAATGACCCCGAGGGTTGTTATTCTTCAAAATCTCTGAAATTAAAAGTTTTTACACTTCCATATTCCAGGTATTCCTCATAAAACATGTTTGTGACTTGTGGCCATTTGAATTTTTTTAAATGTTTTTATACATTTTAAGAAATTGCAGTTTTTGTGTCACTACCCCAGTTTTTCATAAGTGGGGTCAAAAATGACCCCAAGCATTTTACAGAATCTCAAGGGTTTGCTTTGAGAACCTTTGATTCTTACCAACTGTGACTGTCAGGATACATTTTCTGTCCCACTTACTCATCTGATGCCTGCAGTCTCACCAGCAGGAGGCCAGTTTGACACAGCAGCATACATGTAAGTATGATCTTCATTTATCAACTCCATGACTCTTCTGTGATAGAGTATCATGTTGGTCAACAAAGCAGACACTAGTTAGCTAACTACAAAATAATGTAAGTAGTAATGTTAGTACTCTGTTAGCTAGCTTAGTAAGCCATCTGATATTACTGCATTTGTTGTGTAGAGACTCACTGTATTCACAATTCCTTGTAATAAAAGCTAACCTGTTAGGTAACCTATTATATGATTATTGAATATTGTTTGGTGTGTGTGTGTACACACATGCATGTCTGTGCCTTTACTTACATATAAATGCACAGACATTTACTTAGATAGCTACATATTGATTTATAGTTTTATGTGTCATTGTCTGTTTTATGTTTTCTCATCAAGACTATCATGGCTACTTGGAGGCCAGCTAGGATACCCGAAGACCTTGCTCGAGATATGATCCTGAACGGATGGGATGAAGAGCCCATCGGTGGGATTGACGCGGGATCTGACATCTCAGCTGTAGAGGATCCAGATGCTGGTCCTCCAGACAGATGGACATACTAACAATAATTTTTGAAGATTTTTGATATTATTTCTTGTGGGAAATTTTTATAAAAAGTTATAAATAAGCATGTTAAATGTAAAATCAGTCTTTTGTTKACCCAAATATAATAAATATAATCACCTTTAACCAAAATTAAAGACATTTTTAAAATTCATTTTTGACCCCACTCATGGAAGAGTGTAGGTATTGGTCGTTCATGCATCCAAGGGTTAAATAAAGTGAAAAAATCAAATTCCCTGATCTGCAAATCCGAGATTTGATGGGTTCTTCTTTCAGTCATGCCCTACTACACTTCACAAAATGTAATGTCTAATTTTGATTCAATCCACTACACAGCTTCCAATTTTAAATGCAGATCAGAATATTACATTAGAATGATCACAACATGATTTAATAAGGCAACACAAAATTTCATAGAAATCATGATTTGTGTATCATTATGTCAGTTCACCAATTAATACAATGCTCTTTTTCACCAGCTACTTCTTTTCACTGGCTGCCTTCCTCGAAACCGTTTTGTTGGTGTTGACGTATTTGTGGCGATCATTTCTAAAGTGAAAAGAAACAAAATCCTCTGATTAACTTTTTAACAACAGGAACGTGTTAATGATTTAAAGGGTAAAATATTTCGATTACTACTGGTATGTTTTCTTTAGTCATTTTATCGTTCAATAGAAGTACCTGTTCATTTTGGCTTTGTTTCTGCAGCCCAGTCCTCCCTCCCAGTGGCTGGTGCGAGCGCCTCTCGTCATCATGCTCCCACAGCTGATGCAAGGCCTCCCATTGCAGTACGGCTGCAACAAAAGACATGGTTGAGTTTATATTTTAAAAAAGGAGTGGAAAACCTCACATACATTCCTGCTGGGACTAAAATTCATGACTGAAAAAATCAAGATGGCTTTCTTTTTCTCTACTTTTCACCCTTTCACCAAATAACTTCTTAAAAAATTTTTTCACTTATGCAGCTTATTGAAACAAAACGACTGATGACATGAAGGTGAATAATTAGGCTTACAAGTAAATGCAAATGTGAAATCTTTGGCTACAGCTTGTGACCTTTTTGAGATGTTCTTTGTAGTGAAGGTGGTGACATAGAGATTGTAACTCAACAATCGACATTTTGTAGAAAAACTATGATTGTTAGATGAAAGCCGAGACTCTTAACTTAATGCTCTTTTCTAATGTTAATCTGAACGGGTGTTACCTCGGATACCTAGACTACAGATGTCACGTCATGTCTGTAATTAACCTGTTCTTTGGCACAGTAGCCACAAATCATCCTGGTGGCGAGTTCCATGGGGTGGTCCTGGTCCTCATCGTGGCACACGTCACATGGGTAAGCTCGGCCACAGCAGGGAAACCTAAGAATGTGGGAACACAGATTTCACCGACTTCTCCAAGTTCATCTCAGATATCAGAAACGAGGAGTTGGACACAGAAAGGATGTTACCTTAGCCAGCGATGGCTTTGTTTGTAATGTTTACATGCTCCTTTGTCTGGTAGTGGTTTCCCCTTTTGCACAGCAGGCTCTCTAATGGTCTTATAACTTACAGCACTTGAACCTGCACAAGGGGTGAGGGGGTGTGAGGCAACAATGGACCAAGAGTTAACTGTGGAACTTTGTTGCTGTAAAACCTTTGTTGATAACAACTGCAGATGAGCTCTGACCTGATTTTTCAGCGCGGGGCTGAATATACTGGAATCTTACACTCTCCGCCAGTATACTAAGTTTGGTGTGGCAGTGTTCACAGTTAAACTCTTTGGTTTGTCCATAGGAAAGATTCTGATTAGAAATAAAAACAAAAAAAATGATCAGAGCTCATCAAGTTATATTTTATCTTGGTGTGATTTCACAATGTTGATTTACACACGTGTTGGTTCAACATGTTTCAATACCTGGACAGGGCACTCCTGGGAGCAGCTGAGGCAGCCCACAATGAGTTCACAATCCTGAAGCACCAGGTCAGCAGGTGTAACGTTGCGGAGGTCCAGGTATCCCAGGACGTCGCTGTAATGGTGCAGCATGCAGGGCCTGAATGCAGCGTTGATGCTTGTACTGCACTTTTCACATTGAGCTGCGCATGCTGTCCGGCCATTGAGAATCAAGTCTGCTGTTACTTTACACCTGCAGACGTGACACAAACAGCACAGAGTCAGGTTAACACCCGAGGATCTGCTCTTACTCTAAAAAAACTGAATTATTGTTTTGTTCCTTTTCTTTACCTATTACACTGAAGACAAACCGTGATCTTTCGGGCTGCTACGGTGGCTGTGTTCTCTCCCAGCCTCAGTCCCAGCACCTTCACCTCTGTGCCTCTGCGGGGATCACTGATCTTAATGTTCTCCACCAGATGACTGACTTCTTCCTCCTGCTCTTCATCACAGCCTGAATGAGGCAGCTTTCCTCCGTCCACTGCACTCTCACCTTCTGTCATCTCTAGTTTTCCTTCACCACTGGTGTCCCCATCTGCATCAGGAGCAGCAGTGGTGTCAGAGGCAGGATCAGAGGAGGTGTCTTTCACTGATTTTTCGCATACTGTTGCCTGGAGCTCCTGGTACGGTATAAACTGCAGTCCAGCCTTTTCTACGTCAATGTCTTTTTTTAACTGCAAAAATTCAAAATTCAAATGTTCTAGTTGAAGCATTTATTTAAATGACAGTAAATTCAAAAGACACAACATCAGTCATCTGCTGTTCACACAGGCTGTAGTCTCACCTGCCTGGCTCCTTCGGTGAACAGTCTCTCCAAACTTCGATCTAGCCAGCGCAGAAAAGGCCGGAAGAGCAGCTCTACCTTTCCCCGGAGCAGATTGGTTGCATGCTTGGCCTGAAGCCACTCCAAAGATGCTTGTTGTGTATGTCTGCTCAGACAGGAACATTGTTAAAAAAGTGACTGTAACTGTTATCAATCAACACCAATTGAAAATAAAGTGAAAATTATGTTTTACCTTGCCATAACTGCTGGCAGATCCTGATCCAATGGTATATTCAAAGTGAAAATCTGAGGAAAACATATCAAGGTTGTTAGATTCTGTTGTCTGTGTTAGTTACATGAAAACATTAAAGAAAAAACTTTATTTAATTTACCTCCTGTGGGTAACTGTCTGGGAAGCTCACCATGATGTCAATTTCTTTCAGATCAAAAGGCTGTGGGTCAGAATGCAGAGTGTCATAATATTTCCAGGATACATACTGTATTCATTCTAATGGCAAGCTATATTATAAACTACTTTGGGTCAGTGGTTTTAAATAGAACATTGGAATACAGAATATAGTTTCCCAATAACTTAGTCAAATGAGCCAAAATTGTTAATCACTGCTTTACCCAGTTTCCTTTGTAACAAAAGGACTTCATTCGTTCTCAGTTTGATCCAAATCCTTTGTTTTTCTGTGCTACTTCACAATCTCACTGAGGCTGCTGTGAGTGCTACATTTGTCTAAGTATTACATAATAAACATAGCTTGAAGGTCATGGAAGAGCTGAGATAGGAGGAAGAAGAAACTATGTACCCAGTCTGGATCAGTGGCCTCCACAGTCATCCTGTAAAAGGTTACTTTGCCATCACTTCGTTCCTGAATAATCAGCTGATCTTTGGGAAAACGCTTCTTCAGCTGCTTGATCTCTGTCTCACGTAGCTGCTCGGCCACGTCCTCAGTCAGGTCACACAGCTTGACCTCCTGGAAGATGCCGGGACGGGGCACTGGTTGCATCCTCTGAGCGGGTCTAATCTGATCGCCAGAAACAGGCAGGTCATCCACTGAGGGGAGCTGCGGTGGATGCCAGAAGCGACATCTGTCCTCCATGGTGCAGTGGCCGGAGAGAAAGTAGCGGCAGGGGCGGCGGCCTGCGGCTAGGGGACCAGCAATGGACTTGTTAGCGTGACAAGGCCTGGGCCCCACATTTCCACCAGGGTCCTGGTGGACATCTGGCTTGTTGGGTGTCCTGTTAGTTTTCTTCTCGTGAGCACTGGTGTCATCTCTTACATGCAGAAATTTACATCTGTTGCCAAAACTACAGTGCCTGCCTTGAGAGAAGAAGCGGCACAGCGGCTGGGTGCGATGAACTGGTTCTGATTCAGGTGCATTTCCTTCCTCACTGCTCTCCATTGTTACAAAGACCTGAATAAAAGAATACAGTGACACTGATTATTGAAATGCAATTACTTCTTCTGTTTATACACAAACACTAAGGAGCATTGTTGTGTTTAAATAGGCAAGAATCACCCCAAAATACCCCTAAAATGCAGGAAAAAACTCTCAATCCTTTAAGCTCTTTAAGATGAACTAATGTGGACATGAGTTGTGAACAGAGTGAATATGAATATCTAATTTGAAGGATCTGAAGAGACCCTAGGAAAAAGAAAGTCTGCATTATTTCACAAAAACCAAACAAAGGAAAGGGTGAATGTTGTTCAACAGGAGGATCTGGTGACCCCCTGAAGTTTATTATTAAGAACCCAGATAAGAAATCAAACTGCTGCATTAACATCTCCTCCAGCTGATATAAGCACAGGGACTAAGCCAAGTAAAAACACATCTGAGGGGGGCCATGAACAAGGGTGTCCACATACCTTTGGCCATGTAGCCTGTAAGCATAACATAATAGCAGTCAAACATTAGCTGCCTACTTAGCTAGCTAAACTTTACTAACAGTTGTCCAGGGGAACGATCTTAGCTCTGTTGTCACTTCATTCAAATCACTGATCATTAGTTATTGTTGAAAGAAATGACGTTACCTAAAATACACACAAGGCTCCAGGCAAGAGTTAATTCCGCGGAAAGATAAAACCATAGATTTGATGGTTTGATCGCGAGATGTCAGCTGGATGTTTACGTGCGTAAACGTGCGTGTGAAGTGTAGTGATGTTGCGTCATTACGTATGATATGACGATTTGCTTTTTTACCTCTTTATATACAGTCTATGTTTTTTACCAATGAGAAGCGAAGACCCGCCTCTACCTTGTCTTTGATTGGCTTACCGTCACGTAGCTCCCTAATTCTGACCAACCATCACGCTTCTTGCCCAAATGTGAGCCAATCAGAGCCAAAGGCCGGTCTTCGCTTTCCTCGGGTGGGAAGTGTGAAAACGAAAAAAGACCTTCATCGCCCTCTACAGTCTGGAGGGTCACTCTACACTTAGAACATTGAACTCAGCAGCTGAGAAAAGAGTCTCCTGTCTTATCCACAGACTGTAAATAAAAAGTTTCTTATCACACAATCTTTATTAGCAGGTGGAGTTTTCCTAGTCATACATGTTCAAAAGGTCCAAAGTCCCTTCCTGACCTGTGAAAACAATTACACAAGAAAGAATACACAACTATTCTAACAATATTTTCACATAAATGTAAATTAATGTTACTAAAAATTCCACTAATTTGGGGGCATGTGATTTGAATTTTCAGATGACTTTTGGAACTATGAGGTCTTTTGACTTGAAATGATGAGTTGATTGAACAGCTGAGAATTCTCTAAAAATGACTTAGGTTGACAATTCAACCTAAATTTACTGAACTCACACTTTTCATTTTCTTAAAAAGCTATATTTATGAGCTGTTCAAACTCAAACTGATCTACATTGCAGCCGGCCTAGCCCTTGTATTCACAAGATCATTATAATGCTCAGAAAAAAGATATATTTGAATTCCATAATGAAAAATAACTGGGCAAACTCCATTTACTGTTAAAGGTCGTGTGATGTGATCTGAGAGAAGTAGTAGAACAGCCATTGAATGGACCAAGATAGCTGTCACAACACATCCTTCCTCTTTTGCAGAGCAAGACGACAGTAGGAGCCTGTTAATCTGCTGAGATGATAAATTTCAAAAATGAAAATGATGCAAAATGAAGCGGTTTTACTTCCTCATAAATTCATGAATCACTTTATCCATGTAATTCTTCATATTTTACATATTTTACATGAATATTATCCAAATTGTGACACATTAAAAAGGACATACTAGGTCCATCCATACTGCATCACTATAAGTGCTCACTTGCGTAAACCTAACCTGTATTTGCATCCCTTTGTCTTTTTATATCACACTTCAGTATGTATTAATGTTTATTATATTATAATATATATTATATGTTCTAAACCTGACCTGTATTCATAATCCCATGTCCTTTTATACAATACTGCAGTTTATGTTCCTTATATAATTGTATACAATCATGTATATATAATTTCTATCATTATAAGTGTGGCTTGTATACTTTGTGTCTCCTCCTCCAAAATATCCCTGTCTCCTTTTTACTTTCTCATTCTTGGTTGGTCTTTATGTCTTTTAATGACCAAGTGAACTACATACTCATTTCAGTGTGTTTGTACTTGTGTAAATGGAAAATAAAGTCACCTGAACTTGAACATGAACCGAAATATAGCTCTGACAGAAAGTTTGAGCGAAGTAGAATTACTCATCCTGAACAATTTATCATGTGTTGAGGGGGTATGAATAATTTGTTTCACTGAGCCGCCACTTGACACCACACAGTGAGCAAAGCACAAGCAGACACTCATTGTATAGTCTCTATCATAGTCGCTGTTTCTGGCTCAAACATCTACATCTCCATCCCTCAGACAGTAAAGGATCCACCTTGTGATTTCTACTTCAGGATGAATTATATGGATGTCAATGCAGATCTCTGGATGAGCTGCTTGGGAAACGACTCTTTGCTGCAGCCTGTGTGGGACAGTCTGAGGCTCAACTACAGAGAATATTTGAGATCTCCACTCTTCCCCATTGTTCTGACTGTGTCTTCCTACTTTATCTTGTGCCTTCCTTATCTTGTTTGTGACTTCATGGGGGACCGGTGGGCCTGGGTCCTGCAGTTCAAGATCCAGCCCAGTCGACGGCCGACAGCCTCCACATTGCTGCACTGTGCAGGAGTCACTTTATACAACCATGTGTTCCTAGTGCTCCCAGCATCAGTGGCCCAGTGGGCATGGAGGCCACCAGTTGACCTCCCAGACCAGGCTCCGTTCCTGATGGAGCTGATAGCTGGAGTGATCGGCAATCTCCTGCTCTTTGACTTCCAATACTTCATCTGGCACCTGCTCCACCACAGGATCCGCTGGCTGTACGTCACTTTCCACGCCATCCACCATAATTACACATCTCCCTTTGCTCTTGCCACTCAGTGTCTTGGCGGCTGGGAGCTGGTCACGGTCGGCTTTTGGACAACCCTGAACCCTGTGATACTGCGATGCCACCTTCTCACTACATGGGCCTTCATGGTGGTGCACGTCTACGTTTCTATAGAGGATCACTGTGGCTATGATTTCCCCTGGTCGACATCACGTCTGATACCATTTGGCATCTACGGAGGGCCCAGCAAGCACGATGTGCACCACCAGAAACCAAACACCAACTTTGCTCCACACTTTAGCCACTGGGACAAAATATTTGGCACACATGCTGATGTCAGCTTCTCTTTAGCTATAAAATAAAAGCCTGTTGTGTTTTTAATGTGTCTGTTTGTTAGGGTTAGCGTTGCTTGTCAAAATTATCAGGATATTAAAATGTAAAGAGGATGATTTTTTTCATGTAAATTGAGGCATTTTATTGTATTGTACATGTAATGATTTCCTGTAGATTTACGATAATGTGGAAATGTGTTCATCATATCTAAAAAAAACTAAGATTTTAAGTTTGTGCAAGACCTTAATTAAACAAAACCGTGTCTATCATCCAGTGTCTGGTTTCTTTACACTGAAAGTGATCCTGAGCTCTGGGCTTTCATTACATTCTTCTTCACATTATGTAATCCACCCCCCAACCCCCACATGCTTTTTGCACTCATGTTTTTGCTTTTATGTTTCAATGCATTGTTTGGATTATAAAAAATGTTGTGAAGGAGTAGAGCATGACCAAAGGAAGAACCCGTTATATTTTGGGTGTGGATCTGAGGATGCATGAGGATTATTTTTTCCCTTGTATTCAACCCAGAGACAAAATCTGGATACTTGATGAATCTCCATTGCAGATATGTTATGTATAAAGTCTGTACACTGATGATTTAATGACCACAGTTTTTTTTTATACCTCCAATTGCAACTAGTATTGTTAGTGTTTGTTTATCTTGAGATTCTGTTGTTTAAATGTTTTATTTCATTGTATTCATTTGCTGCTTCTGCTTTGTTTCTAGATTCTAGTGGTCCATTTCAATGCTGCTTATCAGGACCTCGGTACATGGTTTTGTTCCGTCTCTCATGTTTTTAGAATGACAATAAATCTTGAATCTTATTGTAACACCAGTCCACCTCATATCATCAGTAATCCTAGACTGCTACCAATACGTCACGTGTTTTATTTATGTGGGACAGGAAGGTACAAGTCAAATTACAGGTCCCAGCACTAGATGCCAGCAAAGCACTCCTATTTCCATTTTGATTGAATCCAACACACTTTTAGTTTAGTTTTAATTTGATTTTTTTATTAAGCTGCATATATCTCTTCTAAAACCCAGAGAGTGGCTACAATACAAAATGCAAACAGACCATTATGTTTAGAAGGTGAAACACTGAGTAGAGGTTAGTGTGTGCAGAGTGTCCTGGTTGTGTTGGTGGCGCTGTTGTGTCGCAGAGAGTCGGGACATGGAGTGAGTGTGTCTGGTGGAGACATGTTTGAGTAAGAATCCTGCACAACTTTCCAACACGTACAGCTTCCAATCCCCGGCGCTGAAGATGGGACAGTGCGGCATCACCTCCTCGAAGACGGTGCTGGTGTTCCTCAACCTGATTTTCTGGGTGAGTCTGCAGGTTTCTCACTGTTTGCAACGTGCGTCACAGCAGCAGCTAGCTAGCTAGCTACATGAAGCTAAGCTAAGATAAGCTAGGTGCCCTGTCAGCTGCTAGGCTAGCCGAGGCGATAAAGAGTGACAAAGCAGTGCAGTTATTGAGAGAAGACATGTTGGGTCGAGTTAGTCTTCACTGACATCGCCATTAAACGAGGCGACTGTCGTTTCAAAGTGACATCTTGTGACTATCGCTCCTCTGACACCTGAGCTGTGAGGAGCCGGTTGAAGTCATTGCACCAAACAGCAGAGAGACCACAGCGATGCTAAGCTAACTCAAAGTGTGTTGTAATGTCAACACTTGCATCATTTCGTTTTCCTGCAGGAGGAAGAGTTAAGAGACAGTTTCTTAAATAAATGCGAGAGACTGTCCCGGAGCAGGAACACACACTAAACATTCAGTTTGAATGAACACGCAGCTAAACGAAGTGAAACAAAGTTGTGTCAAAGTGCTTATACGTTAAAAACGTAGTTCAGTGTGAGGGTAACAAGTAAAGTCCTGGAGCCATGACAGCAATACACATGAGTGAGGTAATCAAATGAGAAACCAGGTAGAATGTAGCAAGGACGAAGAGTTTTTCTTTAAATTTATTTCATAAAATAAATGTAATACAAACGTGTTATAAAGTATACAGGATAGTTAGCTGATAGACAGCTGAAAACAAACAGTAACTAATGACCAGCTAAGATTATTGCACATTAAACAAGTAGGTCACAAGATAAATCCACAGATATTATTTATTGCTCCATTTATAACTAGAAGGATGAAGATCTGTGTCTGGACTTCTGGTCTGTGATTATATCACCATAATCAATAATGCTGTGAGACAACGTGGCTTCATACCAGGAGAGTAACACATTCTATTGACCAGTTTTGTTGTAGCAGACAGGAAT